TCTCAATATAGTGAAGAAAATTCTTCAGCTCAACAACGAGAGTGACTTGTATATTTATTAATTTAAGTATTACTATTAATTTCACTTTATTCATATTTTAGATTGCAATATAGATATGTTTACTAAGTATTTAAAAACAGCTATTCAAGTTCAAAGAATGCTTATTATTTAATTTCATTTTAGATTGTAAGTACTAATTAAAAATCAGTTATTTAGGTTCATGAATAATAACTATTTAATTTACTTTATTTGCATTTTAGATTATAATTGCAAATATATTTATTAAGTATTAAAATCAACTATTCAAGTTGAAGAATGTTTACTATTTTTTTTTGCATTTTAGATTGTATGTGTAAATGTTTATTAATTTAAGTATTCAAAATTAGCTATTAATGAATATTACTTATTTAATTTAACTTTATTCATATTTAGATCGTATTTGTAAATAAATATTTAAAATCAAATTCATGAATATTAACTATTTCATTTTATTTACATTCTAGGTTGTAGGTATAACTAACATTTATTAATCTAAAAGGTTCCAAATTAGCTATTCAAGTTCAAGAATGTTATTTAATTTCATTTTATTCGCACTTTAGATTATAATTTTAAATAATATTTATTAAGTATTTAAAACCAGCTATTCAAGTTCATGAATATTAACTATTTAATTTCATTTTATTCATATTGTAGATAATAGATGTAAATAATGTTTGTACCCTGGTCACTATATCAAGATCGCAGGGCATAAATCAGTTATACCCTGGGCACTGTGTGTATAAGCGGGGCTGAAAGTCCTGCTTATACCCAACTGCCCAGGATATAACTATTACTTATCTGACAATTTATGATCATGATTGGTAGAGAGTCACTCACTAAGTTTTTTTTTTGAATATTGGAAAAACATAATTATATCGTAACACATAAAAAAAAATAACAGAAAGAAAGTTTTCCATAATCATATGAGTTTGTCAGATAACTCTATTTTATTTGTATTTTAGATTGTAAGTGTACCATTTATTAATCTAAAAATTCCCAATTAGCTATTCAAGTTCAAAAAAGTTTACTATCTAATTTTATTTTATTTGCATTTTAGATTGTAAGCATAACTAATGTTTATTAATTTAAGTATTTATAATTAGCTCTTCAAGTTCATGAACATTAACTATTTAATTTCATTTTATTCACATTTTATATTGTAAGTATAACATTTATGCTATTCAAATTCATGAAATTTTATTCTATTAGGTCTTGGCCTAGAACTACAATGAGAGTGGATTTCTTCAATAGGCTAGATAACTTTTATGCCTTTCGGTATGTTATCTTTTTTACTCATTAATTGGATAATTACGATTTACGTTTACTTATTCTGGCACATTTATACTAGGTTATGCGCTGATAATCAGAAAAATAGAAATTTCTGTGTAGAAGAGTGTACAGTATAATCTTGATCGAGTATTTTTCTATTTCGAATTGAAGATCTACAAATTTTGATTTTTTTTTTTTGCATCTTTTAACGTTTCATGAGTATTTAAACATGCAGACTCAATACGATGAACCATTATGCCTTCCACAATGTCAATTATTTTTTTGGTTATCAGATAGTTAAAAGTTTTTTTCTTGTTAATCGTATCTTTTATTTAAATTATAATTTTTTATACATAGGGTGCGATAGCTATCTGCGTTTTATTAGAAGTCAGAATATCCTTTTCATGTATTGCGATTGACGATTTGAGATATGTTATATTGGAGGTCGAGGCTTTAAAGTTCCTTCAACTTATTCTGGTTTGGCGCTTTTAATAAGATGTAAGTTTATATAAGTGCCGCCCAAGAGGAAATCTGTCATCGGGTTTTCGATTATATTTTGTATTAGACAAAATCCCTAACAAATTAGATTACAAAATATAATTGAAAGCCCGATGACAGGTTTTCCCTTGACAGCACTCACATATGAAGATGCTTGGACTGCTATTAATTTTGGGTTATTTTTTTTACAGAGATTACTTGTGCCATTGTGATATATTTATTAGGACTTAGGATTCCATAAATACAATGTCATTTTGAGCTAAACTTTGATTTTGGCGATTTTTTTTTCTTAATTTTTTAAGTTTTTTTTTGTAATTTTTATTTTATTTATTACTTTTTGATTTTTTATTTATTTTATTTTTATTTTTATAATCTTGATTGAGCTGTCAACAAAGGCGTAAAATAGTCTTTTTGTTTTAGTTGCTGTGTAGAAAATATTAAAATCGGATCGGTTATCCCGAATAATGGAATAAATTTTTGTATTAATATCTTTATACCTGTTTAGTATCTCTACAATTTTAATTAGAATCTTATTTATTTGGGTTCTAAAAATTTCTTGTTACTTTTTCATAACTCAACAATATTATTGTCATGTGATAGTAATTTTCGATGACCTCTGGCAATTTCTGATTGGGTTGATTATATCATGTTATTGCACGTGATTTTTACTATGAGATTACTGGGACTCAGTCTCAAGTCTGACTCGGAACCGAGTCTAGATTAAAACTCGACTCATAGAGTCGGACCGGACCGGACCGGACTTTTAACATCCCTAATAACAAGGCAAGAAATGCTACGCCAACTCAGCTGTAGATCACAATTTGCGACCCAACTTATAGGCAGACATTCGTATGATTATCAATTTAAATAAAAAAAATCGAACTACGAAGAATAAACAAAAAAGAAGTATATAAAAAGTTTTATTAGCATTGTAAGACTCCACTATTAAAAATAATTAAAATTCTTTTTTGTTTTAGAGAAGTTAGCATGGTGATGACCTAATTTTATGAAGTCGCTCGCTATTATGCTAACTTCTCTAAAACAAAAAAGAATTTTGATTCCTATAATGCCAATAAAACTTTCTATATACTTCTTTTTTGTTTATACTTCTTTTTTGTTTATGCTTCATTTTTTGATTATTCTTCGTAGTTTGATTTTTTTTGAAAAGTACTTTAAAACTGTATAAATAATATAAGATTAAATTGATTTAAACTGCCAATCATATGATTTCTGGCTATGAAAATACAGCCCTTCCCTCCCAGTGGAACCTAACAAAAAAAAGATTTTCAGTTGAACCTGTCATTTTCTCAGTGGTACGTACGTACGATACATACTAAATATTTATGGCTTGTCTGCTGAACTGCCACATATACTATTGTTTGATAAAAATATCCTAATCAACACCAAATATAACAAGCCACACATACACAAGGCTTAGATAAGAATATATAAAATCGTTTTTTCTAAAATTTTTCAACTTCATAGTTAAGCAAAAAATTTCGTTTCTACTATTGAAGCGATAGGGCCTCTGACTATATATATTATAATTTAGAGAAATAATATGACGCAGGGATTTGCATTAAATGGCTTAGGGTCTGCATACTCTTTCCCTTGAAAGCATGTCATATATTTCATTTATTTTTTCTTTATATATATATAAAACACTATCAAAGAGGGCGCGATTGTCAAATTATTATTATTTGCATAGTGAGGAGGAAGATCACACAGGCTTCCTTACCAATCAACTATTAGATAAGAATTAATTTGAATATATCCACCTCACTTTTTTGTTACTACCTAAAAAACCTAATGAAAAGAATTCTTTATGATCAATCATTAAAGTTTTAACTTTAGTTATGTCAGCTCCTTTTAATTATTTTAACAATTTGCATTTTTTTACTATCTATCAAATACGGAAAAGCACATACCAAACCTTTCAGTTTTAGATCTTCTTTACTGAGAACATTTTAAATTTAAAAAGAGTGAAAAATAAAATAATAGTATTCAAAGATGGATCGTATCTATTACATTCATATCAAGGTATGTTTTAGAAGCTTCAAACAATAAAATAAAGTGGCTATCATTTTAGACCAGTTATAAGTTTGAGAATTAATTGTTTATTAAATAATTTAACAAAACTTAGATACTATAAAATTAAAAATTATTGAAAGATTTGATAATAAACAATTGCTAAATTTATTTAAATAAGAGATGATTCATTAACTAAATTCTACAAATAAAAAAGAATATTAATGAGAATTGAATATAGTGTTTTAAATACTATAATTAATAAATATTCTTACACATATTGATTCAGATAAAAACCAATCTATGAACTATGTCTATATAAATAAGTAGAAATTAATAAAAGTGTATAATCCATAAATTTATAATAAATGGTTATTAAGTTTGTACTATAAATTTTTAGTAAACTTATTATAAAGATTATTTTAATTAATCGTGCAATGCTTGATTAATGATATTCAACTAAGTGAGTTGTTAAGAATCTCTTCAATCAGTGCAATTAATTAAAATAATCTTTATAATAATTTTGCTAAAATTTATAATGCAGTATGAATTTAAATTTTTGGATAATTATACAACTATATGTCTTTCTTTTTTTTACTAGCAACTATTTAAAACTTGGTTCTAATCTATTAAGCAAGGTGCTTAAAAACCTCTTCATAAGAAGTAACCCACTAACTAAATATATACTAAGTTCATGCTTTTAGTATAACTAATCAAAAATAGTTATTAAACTATGTTGGAAGTAATAGCATTTTTCTATTTATTATTATGCATGCGCGAGAGATAGGCACGCGCGAGATTCCGCGAATGATACGCGGGATTTTCAATAAGATCCCAGATAAAATTATCTGGCCCCATTATCATGGCATTAATATAATATCTGGCCTGCATTAACTTATTTACCGTAAATTCTCGAAATAGCGTTATTCAAAAAATTACTATAGAACAAGAAAATTGATTTCAATGATTTCTGCACAGTTTTTTTTATCAGACAAAAGACTTAAGAAACCCACAGGTTTGTGAACCTATCCCACGTGGGATTTTTAAGGAAACCGCGATTTACCTATCTCTATGTTATATTAATATGCACTATAGTTTAAAAATTATGTACCTACGTACGTACGTACGATCTTAAATAGCAAATAATTTATTTTACCTATTCTAATATGGGTAATTACTTAGACCATGCGCATGCATACATGCTTTCATGTGTATGGTGTCTATCTCTAAAACCATAGGAATGAAGAATTGTAATAAATACCAAGGCTGAAATACCAAGCTGATCAAAAAAAATTTACTCGAAATCAAATTACTGTATCTAAAAATTCACTTCACAAAAATCAAATTAACTCGAAATAACATTTTCTTACAATGAGATATCTTTTCTATTTTATTCTTTTTCTGAAAGGTAAAATATTTGAAATCAGTTATTTTCATTTGCATTTTTTAGCTTTTTTTTAATAGTTAGATTAGGGTTTAGGGTTAGTTTTTATAATAATGAGTATAAGTGGATTTTGGTATTGTATTTTTAAATTAATGCCCCTAATTTCTAGCTTCAGCCGCGACAATTAATATAATTCATCTACTAATTACTGTACTGAATTTATTCTTTTAATAGCTCGTCAAGGTTGTGCTGAAGGAAATTGTGGTAATAGTAATGTTGTTGCACCCGAATATCGACTTAAAGGTGATTTATTACAGTAAACAAATATTTTACACTATTCATATATTGTATTGAAATGAGTGTTTTTTATTCTTATAATAGCTCGTCAAGGTTGTGCTGAAGGAAATTGTGGTGGTAATGCTGTTGCACCCGGAGAACGTATCTAGTTTCAACAGCATAGTGGGCTTCATTGTAATTGGCCGATTTTTATAGATTATCCTGTGACATTGTAAAAACATCATTTGTTAGTCGAAATAATTCAGAAGGCAGCATTTTATACGAAACTAATTACTATAACAATTAAATACTGTATAAATTAATAACTATATTAATAAATGTATTATGCGAAATTTAACATCTAAAACCTTGCCAAATTTGTCGGCGAAATGGCTGTCGGCTAAATGGTTGTTGACGAAATTGGCCTATACCCAATATTGGTGTAATTCGATATTTATATATGACCACGTGATCTTTTTTCCTGTGATATTTTTGCACAGTTGATTACATAATTTCATGAAAAAATATCAAGGCAAAAAAATCACATGATTATATAAAAGGTTGGATAATTCAATATTATTTTGATAACGAAATAGCAAGTAGGTTTTGTAATGAAATTTTTTAAGTAATTCATTATCGAAATTACGACAATTCCAATGTAAATTAACTCACCTCAATACTAAAATAGCAAATAACTTCGGTAATTAAATTTATTCATGTAATGATTTTTAATTGTGACTTTCTCAAAATAACAACACAATTGTCTTATTGGATTGTTTTGCTACGGGTGATCCCATATTGTGAACCAACCTAAAATGTATAGAAATAATTTATGATAGTTTTTCAGGCAGTATATTAAATTATAATTTTAAATTTACTATGATAAAACTAATTTACAAAATTTTTTAGAATTTAAATTGCAACTTATTAAAATATATGGTTAAAAGAACGTTTATATATTTGCTTCCAAAAACCAAACTTTCATAAAAGTCTTAGCTATTAAAAAATATCCTTATTTAGAGTGATTGCTATGATTATGTTATCAGGATAAATCATTACAAGCGACTGTAAGAAATTCTATATTAAGTAAAAACAGTTAACAAATAGAAAATGGCAGACCAATGACCAAAATAGGCATTTGATACAAATCGACTTTAATCCACATACTTTTTTCTGAGAAAACCCATCTCATTATATGATACACCTTCCACTTGCATATATTAAAATGCTAATATTATATTAACATAAATATATAATCATGCATAATTTCTAATATAAATTAAAGACAAATTTAATTTATAAAATATATAATAATACAAAATTCGTAAATATAGTTATTTACGTTAGAACATATTTAGTTTTTCTTATGAATTTGAAAAATTTCATAATCCTCCACTGAAAAATAAGAACGATTTTCCCTATTACTATTATAAGCACATGTAGCTCTAATACGTTTTTCATAAGTATAATTAAAACAACTACACTTATTAATAATATTGAAATTACCTTCCATGCCAAGATCGTAACCACCACTAAAACATGGACCATAAATAGGATTATTATAAATTACCATTTCATTCTTTTTTGCACGACTCAAAATAGAATTTCGAATTGAACCATTTTTTAAAGAAAAGATAAAAGATTTATTACAAATCATTGAACCTGCAGCAATACGCCATCCAAATGGATTATATCCACCAAGGATTTCATCAGCATCTTTAACTTTCATAACTACTACAATATTATCTTTCTTATTAGATAAATTCCAAAATGAAGAAGCGGTAAAACTATTCTTACTTCCACGAAGAAGTAATTTAAATTCATATGGAATATTTGTTGTTGAATATATATCAGTTTTCTCGTTAATCCATGAAGTAATTTCAGCTACAGTATATGTGATTCATTAATTATAGTAGAAAATGGTTCAACTATTTCTACTGATCTGGGTGGTAATGATGGTTTAAAAATAGTACGAGGAGAAAGAACTATTGAAGTAATTGGTTGATTTCGTGCAATTATTTTTTTGAAATATCTTTTCAAAGATTTTTTTCAAGTATTAATTGATATGGTTGAATATACTTAATAATGTTAACAGCAGAAATTTGAAATAACGAATAAAAGGTAAATAATTTTTAAAGTTTGAAAATTTTTCACGAGACCAATTTTTAATATCTAATGGTAAATAATAATTTTGAGCAATTCCCCATTTAATAATGTAATACCAAATTTTAATTTCATCCATTTGTAAATCATCACGACTATTAGAGAAATTAATGTATTTTCTTGACGAAAATAAAATCTTCGGAGTCAAATATCGTAGCTGGATATTTTACTGCAGTTTTGATGCACCATTTTTGTAATCCTTGAAGTTTATTATTTTCGAAGCTTTTTTTATAAATTTGAAAATTTTTAACGAAGCCAAGAAGAATTAGTCTCAATTAAATAATATTCAGATTGATTTGTTAATTCTTCAAGAAGTAACTCGTAAGTAACAATAATGAGTTCGAAAATAAATAATCCACTAAAATTTTCCAATGAAATTACTTCACCATAAATATACCTTAATACGTATAAAATTTATTATGTTTAGAGATTTAAAAAAATATATAATTAAAAAAAATTAAATGATTGATAACATACTTGATAATAATTTCAAATTGTTGAATAGATATATCTTTTAGAGTAATCGTTCTAATTTTATTAATATTTTCCAATTTATTACGAAAATATAAAGACCTAGATTTTAAAATGACTGAATGTGCCTGAAATACTTTAGTATTTATGGATTCTTCAATTTTAATAATTACATTAAAGTCTTCCTCATCATCAAGAAGTTCAAGGTAATTATTTGAAAGTTTTTCAAAAAATTTCAATGCATTTTGAATTAAAGTTTGCCATTAATTAAACTGTTAAAATCTTAACTTAAATAAGTACGTACGTATTGTGCGTACACGTAATGATATACATTATTTGTTGTACCATTACTACGTATATCATGACATGTTTATTGATAATTTTGTATAGACCATTGATGAATCTGCTCATATGATTTTATGTCTGTGGATGTGTTGATATAGTTACTCCGATCCGATTCAAGATTATCAAAAACAAAGGATAGCGATAAGAAATAATCGCATCTTTCTTTAGATGTCAATTTACCACATAATCTTCGTAGAATCAATATTTTATAAGAACAAATGTTAATGATAAAATTGCTGACCGTAATTTCACTTTAATATAAGCCACTTTTAATTTATGAAATTATATTAATGGCAAATATTTTTATTAACAATTAATGACAATGATTGTATTAAATTCTAATTTCTTTGTGTTATACAATAAAACGGAAATAAAAGCCTTATTTACTCGATATATTTTTTCAAAACAGCATATAAACTTATTTAACAAAATTATCCAGACATTTCAGAATCATAATTAATATCACTATTTACTCAAGTTATTACATTATTTTTGATTAATAGATGAGTGCAGCTAGATAAAAACTTGAAGTGCTTGATTTTTTAAAATCTCACTTTCAAAAACAGTCTTATAAGCACGTTTTGAAAATGAAATTTCGAAAATCAACAATTTCATATTTCGCGACACTCTTATAGTTATTCAGCTAATTGATTATTCAAAAATATAGTTTGCTCCTAGAGATTTACAAGCATTTTATAATTTGAATGACTAAATATATGTGTATATGATATTAATTCTTTGCCCAACAATTAAATCGCCGATATTATTTCACGACTATATGAAACTTTAGTAAAACCAAATTAATGATGGTGACGCAACCACGTGATGCTAATCGTCACATGCTTTTACTTATAAAAGATCAACATCAATGTTGATTTTTTATAAGTAATAGCATGTGACAATTAGCATCACGTGGTTGCGTCACCCATCATTAAACCAAATCCGTTATTTTGGTTTAAAAATTATTACCAGTTTTTATGTGAATTTTTAGTATTAGTTTTGACACCTTTAATGTAATTCTTAAATAGTGATAAAATAAATAAGGAATTATAAGTCATCCATCTAAAACATCAAGAACAGATTTGATTCAAGAAGAAAGATTTTCGCAGATTACACAATTTTGAATAATATATAAAATTGAACCTTTTATAAATGATATTTAATATATTTAACAGGAATTTTAGAAGCATGCTATGATCTTTTCTGATTTGTAACTAAAAAATATATACTAATATAATATTTTATATATGAAGATATTTATAAAATAGGCTAATTTTAATAAATTTTATCAAACCTGTGATATTGTTACGACTTAAGAACCTTAGAGATAATGTTTCGTGCCTGGTTGATAACTTGATTTTTTCCTGTAGGAGAAATCACTGGCTTATCACATGAATAACACCTATAATCAAGCGAATTAAAATATATATTAACGAATAAGGCCAATGATTAAGAAAAAGCATTAAAACTAAACGGAAATTTCCAATTTAGAACAAGACAAACATACCATGCTTCAGTTGTGTCAAGTTTCATTACAATGCTATGCGACTTATTTTCGTTAAAATGCTGAATTGCATGTTTTTTATCGTAGCGACCACAATGAAGTTTACCACAAGTAAGGCAGAGCCATATCTGCGGTGGTACTGTTTCCTTTTCAGAGGTAATATTGTCGCCATCCATGAGATCTGGTGTTTCCTGAATTCCTTCGACTTGCGATATACATTTCTATAATAGATTGAATTTATTAATAAAGTGGAATGAACTAGACAAAAAGATCAAGACTTGCGATTATAATTTATCATACCTTGCACTGAGCGTCTACAATATATGTATTCTTATTATTGATGCTTTTTTTTAATTTGTTTATTTTTACTGCCTCCCTAACGTGAGGACATATTTCAATATCATCGTTAAGCGATCCATTTTCAAGATCATCGTTAAACGATTCATTTTCAAAATCATAGGCTATTTTAATTGAAAAAAACTATTTAGTAATCGTTGATATAAAACGTACGAGAAAGATAAAATATCATCAGATATACTAAATTTTATACAGAAACATATTTACCAACTAAGGTTATATATAATAGATAAATAAGTCGTGAAAAATTAATTAAAATAATATATTAGTTACGACCTAGAAAAATATATAATATATTTTATATCATTGATTATTTAGACTTCTAAAAGTCTGTAAATTTTACTAGATATGAAATTTTTAAAAGTATCTAAAATGCCTATTGAGTCTAGAATATAGAAGAATATTGAAGAATATAAAACGTTTTTAATATAAATTCTTTATTCTTACATTCTAACAGTCAAAATACGAATATTAAGTAAATAAATAGTAATAAATTACTGTATAATAAGCTGATAACAAAAATGGATTATTAAAAATAACCTAAATATTACCATTTGAAGTTCCAATATTTCTTGGCGGTAATGTGGTATTTGAGATTTCGCGAGGAGGTAAAATAGTCGAAGTAATAGGCTTATTTGGAGCTACAAATTTTGTCATAATATCTTTCCACAAATTAGGTTCAATGATTTGCTGATATGGATATAACTTATCAATAATATCATCGCCAGTAATTTGAAAGTATCGGATATGGGGTAAACAATTTTTGAGTGTATTTTTTAAAGTTGAAAATTTTACATTAGACCATTGAGCAGGATTAGAATCTAGGTCTGGGTTTTGAGCAATTCCCCAATGAATAACTCGATCCCAAATTTTTCCTTCGTCCATTTGTAAGTTATCAAGTTTCAAAAAGGTGATCAAAGATTTTTCAGAAATATTTTCAAAATCATTAGAATCAAAAACTATACTCGGATGTTTAACTACAATATCATTATAAAAATCTTGTACAATTTTAAAATTATCATATTCAAAACATATTTTAGAAATTTTGGCAAAATTTCGACGCATCCATGATGCATGATTCTCAGTCAACTGTGATTGAGCAATATTAACTAATTCTTCAAAACCAAATTCACTAGCAAGAGGTAAAAGGTCTAAAATTGCAGATGCATAAACTTTATCAAATGAAACTATACCACCATAAATATATCTATATAATTTATGAAATCATATTTAGTAAATACAAATTTTAAATAAATTTTATCAATTATTATTATTATATCTTACTTAATAATAATTTCAAAAGCTTTAGCAGAAGTATGTGGTATGCAAATTTTTTTAACATTCTTTTCATCGTAACTCGTCTTAGTTAACTTTTCACGAAAATAAGAACACCGAGAATTCAAAATTAGTGAATGTGCTTTAAAGATTTGACTGTTTGGCATTTGACCGACTTCAATTGCCACATTATAATCTTCGCCATTTTCAAGTAGATTTGTCAAATCGCTAGAAAGTTTCTTAAAAAATTCTGCAACCATTTATACTACAAAGAGGTAAAGTTGGGCTGTCGGATACAGAAGTTTCATTGTTTATTGTTAAAGTAAAGATGAGCAGACACGTGATGGATCTATCGATCAAATGGGGCGTCGTCAATCAAAACGTAGCTTAGTGAGATTGATCATTTTCCTAATTTTCATCACTGTGTGTAACAATTTTCGGAAAATAATCAGAAAATCCCGGGTTGAAGATCACTGTAGATCCTTTCCGAATTTAATTCCGAAGCCAAAACATTCAATTTCTTTAAACTTCTAGCGGCGATTTCTCAGTAACACTCGATCAAATTTAGTAAAATTTTTTATTTTGATTCTATATATTTGTAAAATTAAAACAAAAAAAATTTCATTAAATTTGGTCACGTAGTTGTCGAGAAACATTCGCTAGAAGTTTTGAAAAAGCTTGAAATATCTTGCAAAAAAATCTAAAATCGGCAAATTTTTTCTCTTTGAAATTTTAAACGATGATTTCTCAACACCCAGATATCCAAATT